TGACCCAAACTAAGTGAAATGGAGTCTGAACTTTTGAAATCTGGTTTATAGTCAGACAAGAAGAATAAAGATTCAAAAGATAATAGTGGAGGTATGATGTCTAAGGCTTATGTGCTAATATAATAGGTAATATTTGTCATCCATTATAAAGAAAAGTTTTCAGGGAAATGCTTCTGACGGCACCAGGTAAAGATTCCAGCTTTCATTTTAGAACTTGACCGTCTGTACTTGCTTAACTCCAGCCCCTACTAAGGGCCAGTCCATAAAGTGCATCTCTCTGAAAAGCAGAATAGAGAAAAGGTCTTTATATATTATATAAACATTATAATATACAATATATAAAAACAAGGCTTATGCATCTGTGTATCTGTTCGTAGCGAAGACCAGACCTTAGCACCATTGTGATTCTTTCCTCTCCTAGTTCCTGTAAACACTGGGTTTATTTGTACGGGAGAGAAAGGATCTCGCTCATGCCACAGTGCTCACTCAGCTTCTCTCAATGAGTTTTGTTTACCATCTCGGTGAGTCGTTATGGCGTAATTACAGTTCTAACATGATACGCTATTTGTTGAAAACCGTCAATTTTTGGTGGAAGAGAGAAACTACAGTTCAAAAACAGTGAGCGAAGCAAATCAGTGCCATGATTAACCGATATTAACAGACACCCTGAAGATTTCAAATGCTTGCTCTCCGTTTCCAGGAAGCAGCCAGGAAGAAGATGCCTAGCAGGGGTTAAACCCCGGTGCCTGCACGGCAGCCTATTTCTGTCAATACTCCGTTCAGGAAATAAACATTTATGCTTTCTGAAATGAAAGTGTATTTTTGAAGACTAGCCATCAGATATTTTTTGCCCTTCACACTTTCAAATGCTTAGCCTTTTCTGTAAGTTGACTGCAAAGTGCATCAGTTTGCCAGGCTAAAAAAAAAAAAAAAAAGTGCTTGACAAGTGCCCATGGCACCACTGTCATCCTCCGAAGTTTCTAGTGGAAGGAGGCAAGAGCGTTGGCACAAAGCATACTTTCTTCAAGCCTGTTACTTCAGGGGTACCTGCCTCTTGAGAAGGTTTTCAATCCTTCCAAATGATGTTATTCCCAACTGTCATCTGGTTTATTTGGAGCACACAGGTTCGCAGATAAACACGCTATTTAACTGCGGGTCAAGGGAGAGAGTCATTCTGCTCTCAAAACGCCTGAGATACAGTAAATGGCGCTGACTCCAGGACGGAGATGGAGAAAGATCAGAGTTGTCAGCGATAGGCGTGGAATGGGCCATGGTTGGAGAGGAAAAAAAAAAAAATGTGCCATGGTATCAGTGTATTTTAAAAAGCTGTAATATGGCTGAACATTTAAAACTATAACCTGTCAAACACCAAAGATTAAGATCCCGGGATGTACAAAACATGATGTCCAAACGACACAGCGGTAACGCGTATTTTATTTCACTGGGGAGAAAGGTTTCTCTCTGCAAAGGTAGCAAAACAGGAACCGGGATGAGGGCCTCTCGTCCATAGCCCTGTAGCCATAAAACCCCACTCAGTGCTGGGCACAGTGCACACAAGTAATCCTCATTTGGATACCAGCACATGTGCACCAAGAGAGCCATCACATTTTTAGAGAATTCCTTAAACTTGGTTTATTTAGATCTTGGCCATTTAGGTTTTTATACTTTGCTCAGGTCCCCTGATCAAAATATTATCATCTCCATGTTGTTCTGTGTGGCAGCAGTCCTAAAGGGCAGGCAGAAGAAGTTTGTGGTATTCCAATGTTAGCTCTGTTATGCATCCCACCTCCTTTGTCACCAGGGGAGCAGAGCAGTCTCCTCACCTGTCACCCAGGCATCTGGGCAGGCTCTCTTTGTGCCAGCTTCCAGACTGCTGAGGTGTGGTAGGAAAGGGTTAAAGTGTTGCAGGTCAGCTTTTTCTAGAGCACAAAGAGATAAAAGTCCAGACTTCTATTTACATTCTGGAAAGCATGGATGGTCCCTTTTCCTATCATTTTGCAAAATTACACTTCCTTTAATCAACTGAAAGAGATGTGAGGCTATCAAGCAAAGCAAACTTGTCAAACCTTTTGTGCTGTACCCATCTCCCCATCCTCACTGAGAAAAAAAAAAAGAGAGAGAGAGAAACGGTATTTTTTATTTTTTAACCTTTTTCCTTTTATTTCCTTAAGAAGTGAAAGAAAAAAAGTTAGGTTTCTAGGAAGGATTCTCACACACACACACACACACACACACACACACACACACAGCCATCAACAGAGAGCAGACAAATTGCAGGACCAACCTAAAAATTAAAAAAAATGAAATTTTATTGTTTTTGCTTAATTAAACCCCAAAGAAATGTGTGAAACCTTGTTAGGGCTGAAAATTGCGAATTTGTAAATCACAGGGACAAAAGGGCCCCTGTGCAACTTTAAAGTTTCCGTGCACGTAACTGTCGATAGCGTGCCTTCTCCATCATCAGCACTAAATTCACAGTGATGCCTCTTTTCTTCTCCGTATTGATCCTTCCATGAGAACGTAGATTTGTATCTGTTAATTAATGCGTCCTGAAACAGCGTTTGTATTAATCAGGCAGATAAGAAAAATTGGATGCCTGCGTCCTCTTGACAACCGTAAAAGTGCTGGGCCTGATAAAATCGTGGATGGACCTCAATAAAAAAGTTCCTCCTTCCACTCAATAAACTAATCATCCTGCTTTTAATTATTCGGCAGAAAGATGTGTGGAGATTGGAGAATGTGTAAATCTATTTACTAACAGCGGTGTCTGGGAGGGAGAATAGGGCTGTCACAGGAAGGGGCTGTGGACTACGCGCTCTGTCCATCTGCTGTGGCAGAGAGAACGGCTGCTCAGAAGCATGAAAAGGAACAAGCACACGAAGGCAAAGGGGAAAATACTCCTCCTCTTTGGCTCATAACTTTCTAAGATGATCATTTATTTCTTCGTCTATTTCATTTGTAAAACAAACCCCGACCCTTCCCTTTGCTTGAGTTAGGTATATTTGGATGTGTGTCACATCTTTTATCTTGGGGTGGGGGGTGGCCGGGGGATGGGATAGAAAAAGGAGCAATACTGGTTTGTTTGCTGGGAGTGTAACATTCTCAAGATCGAAAGCAAATGGAGCCTAACCTAGTCAGACTAGGTCGTTATTTTTCTCTTTGGACTCTGTTGAAAATGTGACCACATGTTTTATCTCTAATTCTAATAGGAAACTTATGTAACCCCACAATGGGATGACCAGAAAGAGAAAAGGAGTGGGAAAAAAAAGGAAAGAAAGATTGACACCGCCAATTCAGAAGAAGATCTGTCATGTAATGTGTAAATGGCTTGATAAACAATCAAAGAGATGCTTATTACACATGTGTGAAGACCTGCCTTTAATAAAAGCTGGACTAATCCCTCTTGATGATTTTATTAAACACTTCAGTTAATTGTGCCAAGTGGCAAACCACTAGTTTTCACCAACAGGGCAGGAAATCGTTTCCTTGTCCTCATTGTACAGTAGTTTCTAATATCAGATGGGATGTGAATAATTGGATAGGAATAAAAAGGAGACAAAAGCAGTGACCATAAGCAGGAGCCCAAGAAGACTGAGCAGCAGTGGATGGTTATGATTTGGGTAGTAGGATCTAGAGAAGGAATAAAAATAGATGTTATAAGTTGCATTATTCAAATTTTCTCCTTCTATGGAATTATTGGTGGCAGGATCTTAAATCCTGGTATTGTTGTCCTCAATAACCGTAGGGCTGTTTGCTCACCCCTTGGAATCCCTGGGCATTACCTTTGAAATGGAAGTGAAGATTTAAGAAACATTCATTTTTTAGGACTCTTGGGGAAAGTTTGTGGCTGATCATTAGGTATCTTCACTAAGACTTCCATTTAGAATCTAGATCTCGTCCCTACGAGGTATAAATAAATATTTTTACTCCTAACTAGGTTTGATTATACTACTTTTTCCCTATTGAACCGCATTTCCTTTTTTTTTTTTTTTTGCATGTTTTCTCGGAAAGGAACTTTTTTATATGTGTTACATGTGAATTCAGACCAGTCTGTTAGTGAAGAATTACAGGAGTCATCTGGATAGTTCAGATAAAAATAATATTTAATATAGCGAGGTTTATTGAATGCATAGCATTAGTATTTTGCTGGGTGTTACTTTGTGTGTCCCCCAAACAAAAACTGAGGTGTGAGTAAACTGTCTTGCCCACAGTGAAAGAGCCAGTAGCTCAGTGGAGCCAATATTTAATCCAAGGATCTGGATCTGCCTATATCCTACCCACGGAACTGCATTGCCACCATATTTAACTCTTTAAATAACTGGATGTTAATCAGAAGAACAAACTGTGGCTTTTTGATTTGGTGAAGAGGCTAGGCCACTCAGTATTCTTTTCTCTTTTACACCAATAAACACCATTTGGAGAGGAATTCATGTTATATATCAGTGGGTACAAATATCCAGCTAAGAGGGCTCTTTTGGGTGTACGAACACTCATCCTTCACTGAGCGTCGGACTGTTACAGAGAAATGTTTGCAAATTGCACTCTACAGGGTGAGGCTACACTGTTTGTTTTCTATTATTTGGGAGCTCTTTTTTTTTTTTTAATTTTCCTGTTGTTTATCAATAGTAGTTTTTAGAGGTGAAATGGATGAAAATCTGACTTCCTGAAAGACATTTATAAAAACTGTAGCCAGACATCAATTATATCTAAAGACTACATACTCTTTGCTTCTGAAATGAAAGAAACAAACCTACTTTTCTGTTCTATCTACCTCAACTGTGTCTATAAAACCTAGGGAAAAAAAGACACCAACAAGTTGAACTGGTTTGTGACTTTTACTTTGCCGTTCACACAATGATCAGGGGAAAATTTAAGAGCATCTCATCAAAGCTCAGCATAATTTTGAGCACCGATGCAGAAGCTGACTACCATATGAAACTAATGTTGCATTATGAAATTATGGCTTTAACGTAACTTGATCTGCCCATCTTCCCATGCAGGCTTCTCCACGCTGTCCCTGGCGGACCAGATGAGCCTTCTGCAGAGTGCTTGGATGGAAATTTTGATCCTTGGTGTCGTATACCGATCTCTTTCATTTGAGGATGAACTTGTCTATGCAGATGATTATATAATGGATGAAGACCAGTCCAAGTTAGCAGGCCTTCTTGACCTAAATAATGCTATCCTGCAGCTGGTAAAGAAATACAAGAGCATGAAGCTGGAGAAAGAAGAATTTGTCACCCTCAAAGCCATAGCTCTTGCTAATTCAGGTTGGCATACTAACATGGTCGTTGTTGCATTTTTTAATATTTCAGTTTTACCCTTCCCTCGACTTCTTCTTCAGGGATTTGCTAAACCCGCTTTTAAGTTTTGTATGAGAAAGCAAAATTATAGTCATTACGGCTTTCTAGTGAAAAGTTAGAAATAAGAAAAGTCCACTTGCATTATTTTTATTATATTTGTTTATTGAAAGCAGTGAAACTTTTTGCAGCCTGTGCATTTCCTAACGTGTAGGGTAAATGGGAGCTCTCAGGACAGCGTTATCTCCATTGTCTTGTAGGCACAGGTGAAAATAAGGGTGCACCGTGGGTACGTGGAAAGCATTTTCCCCTTCATAAATGAACATTTTGCAATTGGAAAAACATACATAGTGTTGTTTTTATTTTGGTTATCGAATACTCTAGTTTTCTTGTATTCTGGAATTCTGTAGAAGGCAACTTCTGCTGGAGTATTTCTCTGAAAGGTACCACCTATGCAGTGAGGGTGCAGAATTATGGGAATAAACAGTCTTTACATTTGAACAGAAATGTACTAAAATAGCAACTTCTGATAAGTAAAAATCGTTGCTGCTTTGTTGTTTTTCCCTTTGTGCCTCTGCTACCGCTTTATTGTGGTCTTAAGTCGCTTTTGGCATTTGCATATAGTTCCGGATAGATCCCTCCTTAATGACGTGCCGATCTTTAGATACCTGCGTGTCAATAACGGACTCTGATGCTGTGTACCATTGACAGTCACACCGTGCCCCTCCATCTGCTTTTGTTTTGACCCTATCTTTGAACTTTATCTTGGTTGCTGGCCAGTAGTTTTCCCTTTAATTACAAGAAGGAAACTGTCAATAAAATCTGTTAAATGGGATGCAATGAGTGGCTTGAATGGGCGGATGGCTATTTGTTCAAATTCTGCAGCATTCAAGGTATTGACAGTTTGTTTTCTGGGGCCATATGTGACGATCAATCTCAGGCTGGGCTCAGCCGCGCTGAAAAATGAAAAACCAGATTGCTTTTGCTTACTTGTGGATGACGACTTTGTGATTTGGCGCGGTCCTAGTGAGATGAGACCCTTCTGCCCAAATTGCCCCCATGAGAGCCGGGGACGCGTGACTGTTTTTAGAAATAATTTTTAATTGATTTTGTAATTAACAGTTCATCTACAATATTGATGCGTGCATCCTTGGACTGATAGGAGGGAAATTGTTTTCAACAATGAAGTTGTACTTTCCTATTTGTCTTCATAATGGAGTTTAGCATTGCATACTTTTAATTGCTGACCACACCGTTCACCCCCCCCCCTTGTCCTCCTCCCCTGTGAAACTGTAATCTAGGATTCCTTATGACAAGTGGAACTGTTGATGCAGACATCTCACATACCCCTTCTCTGGCTCTCTAGAAGACCAAAGTGGGAGATGGGAGAGAAATTTCCCGAGAATTTGTTAGTTTGCAAGGACTTCACATTATATCATCGTCTCATCATCAGATGAAAAATTCTGTAGCAGTGGTTTTGGGAAGAATTTCTGTTTGGTGGTTGTATAGTGATTCTAATTGAAAACATGTACTTGGCCAATTATATTTAAAACCCAGCAAGCATGTTTTATATCTTTTATATTACATAATGCTTTTTAAAATTATTAACTAATTGTGAGGGCTGAGCAGCGCTAAAACTTGATCAAGATTGCTAAAATCTTATCATTTTAGGTGTTAGATATATACTTTATGGCTATTGTAATTTAGAGTACCTGAATTAATTAGTAGCAGCATTTCTGTCTGTTGTGTAGAAGTATAATCATTAGTGTTTTGATATGTAAATATCTGAATCCCACGGACTCCGCTGTTGGAAGGAGGAAGTGACCTACTTTAGAGCAATGACTGGTGATTAGAAAGTCTTTAAAGAACTAGTTAGCTTGCTTTTCTGGTTTAAAGCCAGAACTAGTTAACTGGCCCTCTTCTTTCTCTTATACTGGTATTGAGTAACTTTAATTTCTTTCAGGAAATTTCTCCGTGTCACACAGTTACTCTGCAAGTGCTTGCAACTTTTTTTAGCTCCTCAAAAACCAAGAAAATTTAACTGAATCAGAGTCCATAATAACGGAGAAAAGATTAAGGATTATATTGATGTCTAAACTGTGCCAGTTCTCTCGTGCTGTATAAATATGACCCTTCTCTCATGCTTCCAACCCCAAACCCCACCATGTTAGCAGGGGATAGACCACTCAGAAAATCTTTTTTTTTTTTTTCTCGTACTGTCAGTATGATGCTATTTTATTCCATTTTTGACCATTACTTGGATGACAGCAATAAAGTTGTAGATTCATTCTTGCTTAGTTCCAGAGACTCTTAAACTGCTCAAAAATACATGAGTATGAAAAATGTTTTCAAAGATACCCTAAAAAGCTCGTGGTTTTTCTTTCAGTATTTAGAGATCTCAGAATTTGTGGGGAAAAAAAATCTATTTTAGTGTTATTTTTGTAGATATCTTAGCATTCCCTGTATGACTGTAGGTGTTAAGAAGCAATGTCTCATTAATCTAAATTTCAGCTTGTTTTAAACATCTGTCTTTATTCAATAATTATTAATATTATGCTTATGCTCAGGAAACAGGGAATCGTCTTCTCGGTAATAGCTGTCGTATATTTTTGTACCTCTGTTTCTGGTATATGTGAACTCAGGAATACTTATAACAGCAGGAACACGACTGGAAATACTTTCCCTATCTTGAAGGATATGGGGGAAAAACAACAACGACAAACCCAATATATTTTGAACTAATACTGTCATTTTCACATTCAAATATTTGGTATTTTGTCCCAATTATTTTTGAAGGTAAGAAACTCACAGGCTCACTTAAACTATATACTTTCTTAAGTTTGCACAGCAACTGTCTCCTCGGCAATTGTTGCCTCCCTGATCTGTCTCTGTGCCATTGAATTTAAAAAGGAAAATCTACATCACAATGTTAACTTTGTAATTGTTAGGCCCCTTTATCTCATCAAACACCAAGAAGTTAGACTCCTCTCTAGAATTCTTCCCATTTGGGGAGTTTTAGGATTCTGTAATTAATTTTATGTCTTTATTGGAAAATTTAGTGAAATATTACTACATGCGTTTTAGGTAAGAGTATTTCATGGGATTCTCTTGTCTCGGTTTGGGCCTATTGATTCTTAGGCTTAAGACTTTGTTTGAAGTTATTTTGCTGGCCCCAAGGAAGTAGACTCGTTTTTATATATGGAAGACTAAAGCAATTTAAGAGTGAGAATTGCTTTTAGTCCGGGTCATTCTCTTTGGCCCCAAGGCCCTCAAGCTTCACAGCTGCCACTCCTCCCAAGTGGTGTCACCAGCCCTGCCCCCACCATGGAGCCCTGTGAGCCCAACTCATTCAAGACCAAACGGCATCTACAGCTGAAAGCTGACTTTTCTCTTCTATTCCTACACCATGCTTGTAGAATAATAGCGTCTGTTGGTAGGAAGCTGCGAGTAATATTTTGCTCATCAGTTTCAAATCGTAAGTAATTAGAACCACATCCTGACAGTATTTTGTTCTTGAGAACAAACGTTTGATGTGTAGAATCGTGATATAATTTCAAGGGAGAGAAAGCTTCTGATTACTGTAGGAGACTGGGATGAGGGCCATCTTTAGTCCTATAAGTTTGGCCTCATGTTTTTCAGTCTTTTTTCATTATCTCTCCCTCGGGGTAGCCTTTTTAGATATTTAATATCATGAAAATGTTACGTATCTGTTTGTGTACTGTACAGATACGCATTTTACCTAAAAAGAGACATCTGCCCCTACTTTCCAATTCCAAATTCCACTTCCTTTAAGAACGTACGCTTTAGGGACGCCTGGGTGGCTCAGTTGGTTAAGCGGCTGCCTTCAGCTCAGGTCATGATCCCAGCGTCCTGGGATCGAGTCCCGCATCGGGCTCCTTGCTCAGCAGGGAACCTGCTTCTCCCTCTGCCTCTGCCTGCCTCTCGGCCTACTTGTGATCTCTCTCTCTCTCTCTGACAAATAAAATCTTAAAAAAAAAAAACAAAAAACGTATGCTTTAATCACATAACTGTTTTCTCATCTGTAACACGAGGCAGGTCAATTATATAATGTCTCATATCACTAAGTGGCCTAAAATTTTTATGTCAGTGACTTTTAAGTGAGGGCAGTGAGTTTGGTTGTACATTTTGTATGTGGTTATGTGTGTATTAATGCTAAATTTATAATATAGAAATATTAGCATCCTCATGGATCTGAATAATTAGTATAAAAGTGAAAAACATCTTTAGTACCTTAATATCTCTTGAGCCATCAAACACAATTTTATTGAAATTTTGACTAAATTTGCTGATTTTGATATTCTAGACAGAGTTTTAGATACTGATCAAGCGATTATCCTTTTTTAAGAATCCTTCTGTAGACGTTTCTTTTTTTTTTTTTTTTTTTTTTAGCTTTTGCTAGGGAAATCTCATTTTATTTCCTGTGAGATGGACATGGCCAATAGCATTTTTGCGGTAACTGAAGCAAGTTGATGAAGGTGTGTGGCCACTATGAGGCAGAGGGTTGGACCCTCTCTTCTTCACTATCAGTAAGCTGTTTCTATTCCACAAATAAGTAGATTGGCAATTTTACATCTGCCCACCAAAATTAGTACTCTTAATTTAGTTTAGAATTTTGCACTCACTTTATCTTGCTGTCTCCTTGGAGTTCCAGTAGTATAAAACTACTCTTAAAAGTGGCAAAAAAAAATCTGGAGACAAAATGTTTACTATCTTGGTAGGATTTAATAAGAAATAAGTATGGGCAGGTCTTTTGCAGCAGGTAGATATTTATATATTTAACTTATACCCAGACCAAACCATAATTAATACTCTCTGGGAAATCAAAATTATAGTTTTTCCATCTCCTAGTCTACTTTTCTTCGGTTTTTGCTCAAATCTGCCATCACTGTTTGGATTGTTTTAATTTTGCGTAAGACGTTGTAATTGAGTTGAAATGGGTGGTGGTTTTA